AGAGCCCAGCTGCTCCTCGCCTCTATTTATATGGTGGGTGCAGGCGGCCACAGCGGGCAGTGGAGGGCGGGGAGAAGGGTCACACAGTCACTAGGGCAACTGGACAAACATGATGGGGGAGCCACCCAGACCCCCAGGACTACTGCAGGTGTTATCCTAGCCTCAAGCACCAGAACCCAGAGCCCGGTACTGGCCTCTCCCCACATGCCCAGGATCATTTGATCCAGGGTAGAGGCTAAGGGGATAAAGTGAGATGGCCCTTGGGCTAAGGTCCAGGGGTTAGGAACTTGAGTCTTCCTAGAATATTTGCTGCCTTAACCTAAAGTCTCAGACAGGTCCAGGACCTGGAAATTCCTCCAAGTGAAGGAATTATCAAACGAATCAAAGCCAATCCTATTTGGTAGTCACTGATCTGCAATCTAGCAAATAGGAAAACCCTCAGCCTCTGACCTTTGAGGTCGATGACTACAAGCTTATCCTTCCAGGGCCTCTGCATAGAGAATGCTGAGCCGAGGGAAAAAGGGGACTTAGAGAAGCGCCGAAGTGATGTGATGTCAGTTGGAGGCAGAGAGACAGATCCATTTCCAGTGGGCGGGGGCTCCAGAATGTTCAGTCACCTCTGCAAAGTGCTATTTGATGCAGTCTTCCTCTGGGCTTGTGGTAGCCCTGGAAGCCAGCTGTAGGAAGCTGAGAGACAACAGATGCTGGCTTGGTGGCTATGGGGACAGTGTCACCAGGAAGGAAGGAGGTAGCAACTGGCCATGGAGTAAATGAACTAAAAGTAAACTAGGCATCTGTTATGAGTAGGAACTTTACATTTCTCAAAGTTTGTTTTTATTGTACTGGAAATTGAACATAGGGCTTAGAGCATGTCAGAACACTCTACCAGAGAACCACATCCCTAGCCCCTGTGCTTTTCATTTTTAATAAGCTTTGTAGACCAGGCTGGCCTCAACTCAAGGATCTGCCTGTCTCTGCCTCCCAAGTGCTGGGATCAAAGGTGTGCACCACCATGCCTAGTATACCACACCTATTTAAAGGGTACAAACTGATACAATTTTACCTATGTCTGCAACATCATATGTGCCAGCACAATTAAGATAATCAACAGATCCCTCTCCTCACAGTCTGGCAACCTCTAATCTACTTGCTGTCAATACAGGTTAGTTTGTATCTCATGACTATGGCTGTAAAGGAAATCAATGTTCTTTATCTGTTTCTTTTACTTACACAATTATTTTGTACACATTGTGTCAATAGCTCATTCTTTTTTATCAATGAGTAATCTATTGTATGAACAAACCACAATTGGTCATCTATTCACCTGCTGATAGACATGTGAGTTGTTTCTAAGATTAGACTATTAAAAGTAAATTGTTATGAATATTTGTATGCATACCAGTGTACAGATGGAAGCTTCAATTTTTCTTGGGTAACTGCCTAGGAGTTGTAGCTAGAGTTTTCTCCAGTCCTGCCTGGCCCACAGTCAGGACAAATCTCTCTCACCCATCAGTCCCGCAGCCGCTTAGACCCAACCAAGTAAACACGCAGAGACTTATATCGCTTACAAACTGTTTGGCCATAGCAGGCTTCTTGTTATCTAGTTCTTATATCTTAAATTAACCCATATCTATTAGTCTATAAGTTGCCACATGGCCCGTGGCTTACCGGTACCTTACATCTCGCTTTTCATGGCAGTGGCTGGCAGCATCTCTCTGCCTCAGTCTTCCACTTCCCAGAATTCTCCTCTCTCCTTGTCCCGCCTATACTTCCTGCCTGGCTACTGGCCAATCAGTGTTTTATTTATTAACCAATCAGAGCAACACATTTAACATACAGAACATCCCACAGCAAGGAGTGAAATAGTTGGGTCACATGGTGTCTGCTTAAACTTTTCCCAAGGTGATTTACTAGTTATGTTCCCAAAAGTCTACTCCTTTCCCAGCCTAACACTTGATATGTTTGGTATATGTGGTCCTGGGAATGGAACTGAAGGCCTTCCATGTGCTAGCCAAGAACTCCATCACTAAGCCATGCCTTTGCCCCTTACCTTTAGTGATTCGTTAGATGTACAGGTGTAGCTCACTGCAGAGTTTTATTTTTTTTAAACAATTATTTTTAGTGTGTGCATGTGTGAGCACTTGAAAGGGTGTGTGTGTGTGTGTGTGTGTGTGTGTGTATGTGTGCACATGTGCACACATGCCATGGTATACACAGAGCTCAGAAGACAGTTCTTTGTACCATCTGGATCTTGGGAGTTGCACTCAGGTTAGTAGGGTTGGTGGCAAGTGCCTTTACCCACTGGGCCATCTCATCTCATTGCAGATTTAATTTGTATTTCCCTGATAACTAATAATATTGATGTTTTCACTTATTTACTATCTATTTCTTAGATATACTTTTTGTGAAATGCCTGCTCAAATTTTTTTATTCACTTATTATGAGATCTTTTGCTCAGTTTTGGCCCATATATGCTGGATACAAATCCTTTATCAGATAGATATATGCTTATAAATATTCTTCCCTAAACTGTAGCTTGTCATTGCCTTCACTTAAATGCCTTTGAAGGAACAGAAGTTCTTGATTTTTATCAATGCCATTTACCAATTTTTCTTTTATGAATTAAGTTTTTAATCTAAAAAATGATGTCTTATCTAAAAACTCTGCCTCAAAGTCACAGATTTTCATTGATATTTTCTTTCTTATATGTAGCCCTGTCTGTACTAGAATTCTTTATATAGACCATGCCAGCCTTGAACTCACAGAGATCTACCTGCCTTTGCTTCCCAAGTGCCCAGTGATTTATTTATAGTTTGTGTATGAGTATTTTGCCCACATGCATGTAAGTGTACTGAATGTGTGCAGGGTGCCCACTGAAGCTAGAAGAGGGGATGGTTGTGAACCACTGTGTGTAACAGGTCTTTCTTGGGAGTGTTAGCTCCTGAATATTGACATGGTGACTTTTTATTATTATGAAAGCTTGACCTTAACTTAGGCTTGTTCCCAACTAGATCTTAAAACCTAAATTGACTCATTTATATTAATCTATGTTTTGCCACATGGCTCATTATCTCTCCTCAGAACCATATATCTGACTTCCTCTGTGTCTGGCAGGCAAATCTCCCTCCTCAGTTTCTTTCCCAGAATTCCTGTCTCTCCTGGAAGTCCTGCCTAGCCTCTCTTGCCTAGCTATTGGCTGTCCAGCTCTTTATTAAACCAATCAGAAGGTGCCTTATACAGATGAGGTAAAATAGATACACATCTTCACACAACATACAAAAAGATTTCCCCAACAACCCTGTAGGAGCTAGAAACCAAATTAAGGTCCTCTTCAAAAGCAGCAAGTGTTCTTAACCACTGAGCAATCTTTCCAACTTCCAAAGATTTTAATCTTAATCACTAAGATTATTCACTTTTCAACACATACACAAAAATGAAGAGACCAAGAGTACAATTTAGTTTTTACATATGGATTTTCAGTTGTTCTATTACCATTTACCAAAAAGGCTAGTTTTTAATTGAGATTTTATTGATTGTATTGAGGATTAATACACAAACATTTCAATTTATACTTAATCTGTAACACATATACTGAAAATGTAAAATGTCATACATTGTATGGGTTTTTTTAAGTTATTCCAGTGGTGTTCCAGTTTTAAACTTTGAGGTAAATGCTGATAATCTTTACCTGTCACCAATTCAAAGTTTGCTTGTTTTTAGATTCATTTATTTTTATTTTTATGTGTATGGATGTTTTGCCTGCATATATTTTTGTGTACCATGTGCATGCCTTGTGCCCACAGAAACTAGAAGAGGGTTTCAGATCCCCTGGAACTAGAGTTACAGATGGTTGTGAGCTAATATGTGAATGCTGGGAACTGAACTCAGGTCCTATGGAAGAATAACAAGTAGTCTTAACCACTGAGCCATCTCTCCAGACCATTTGTTGTTTTTTGAGACACAGTCTCACTATGTAACCCTGGTTACCCTGGGACTCCCAATGTAGACTAAGCTGCCCTTGAATTTAGACATTCACATGCCTTTAACCCCACCACTGGGAGGCGGAGGCAGGTGGATCTCTGTGAGTTCAAGACCAGCCTAGTCTACAGAATGAGTTCCAGGGCTCTATGGAAACCCTGTCTTGAAAAGCCAAAAGAAAAAAAATTTTTTTGCTGGGTGGTGGTGGTGCATGCCTTTAATTCCAGCACTTGGGAGGCAGAGGCAGGTGGATCTCTGAATTCAAGGCCAGCCTGGTCTACAGAGTAAATTCCAAGACAGCCAAGGCTATACACACACACACACACACACACACACACACACACACACACACACACACACACAAAACTGTCTCCAAAAAAACTAAAAATAGTAAAATAAAATAAATTAGACAATGCCTTTGCTTCCCTAGTGCTGGTTTAAGGGAGGGCACCACCACACCCAGTCAATCCAAAGTGTTTTAGCCTGTTTGTTTGTTTTGGTGTATATGTATATGTGTGCTATGGTTTGTGTGGAGGTCAGATGACAATTTATGGGAGGTGGTTCTCATCATCCATCATGTAGGTCTCAGGGAACAAAATCAAGGTGACATCTCACTGGCTCCCAATTCAAGGTTCTACATATATGAAATCAAATTTTCAATCTTGCATAGCACATCAACAAAATTAATAGGGAAACTGGATTCTCATGATCAGAGTTATTACAGAGGGCACATAGTTCTGACAGGGCAATAATGAAGAAGTATTTCTTTAAGAAACAGTTCTCAAGCTGGGCACTTGGGAGGCAGAGCTCTCTGAGTTTGAGGCTAGCCTGGTCTACAGAATGAGTTCCAGGACAACCAGGGCTACAAAGAGAAGCCCTTTCTCAAAAAACCAAAAACAAATAAACAAAAGCAATTCTCTTAAAATAACAAGGGACTTGAAATAATTTAATATGTTCAAGATACATTAAATGCACAATTATGACCGACTACAAATTGGCATTTAGTATGTTTTGTATTGTAGGATATGAAACTACCCCTGGAATGGAATATTAGCTAATACACAGCAGCAAGTGGAACCCACCTTTTAGAGTCAGGGGGCTATGGGAACTTGACCTTTCAACATTGTCAGCAATTCACTGCACAGTTCTAAACGAAACTAGTTCATCTGCATAACCATATTGTGCATTTCAGGTAAGTAATTTTTGAAAGTATTCTTGATTTTTTTTTTTTTTTTTTTTTTTTGGTTTTTTGGTTTTTCGAGACAGGGTTTCTCTGTGTAGCTTTGCGCCTCTCCTGGAACTCACTTGGTAGCCCAGGCTGGCCTCGAACTCACAGAGATCCGCCTGGCTCTGCCTCCCGAGTGCTGGGATTAAAGGCGTGCGCCACCACCGCCCGGCGTATTCTTGAATTTTAATGGGGATTATAATCAATCTCTAGCTCAATTTGAAGGAAACTAACCAAGTTACTAGCTGTGGAGGTGGATTTTGTTTCCACTTGGCTAGACTATGGTGCCAGTTGCTTGGTCTCACACTAATCTGGATGTTACTAGGAAGGTATTTTTAACATTTGAAGTAAAGATCTTGGGTTGGGAGAGTGGGAAAGTACTGGCTTAGCATGCTGAAAGACCTTGGCTCAATCCCTACCACCGATTTTAAAGAGAGACTGAGATTAAAAGAAATCACCTTCTTTAATGTGAGCATGTCTCGTTCACATCGGCCAATAGCCTGAGAAGGAATTAGGACTTACAACTGGCTTCAGAGTCAAGACCATGATATCTACTCTTGCCAGAATTTTCATCTGCAAACTGTAGGCTAACACTCATTTTTTCCTTTAACTTGTGTCTGTGTGCGTGTGCATGTATGTATATGCTGTGTATGCATGTATGCAACATGTGGGTTACCAAGAGATCAGAAGAAGGCATTGGATTCCCAGAGCTGGAGTTACAGGAGGTTGTGAACAAAACCTAAGGGTGGGTGCTTAGCCACCTTAGCCAAACTCGAGGCCTCTAGAAAAGCAGCAAGCATTCCTGATCACTAAGCCATCTCCTCAGTCTCCATGCTCCCTTTCTAAACCAAGTCTCACAGTCATGCATATAACTGAGGAGTATCACAAGAGAAGAGGGTACAGCTGGTCACAGAAAAAAAAATACCTGTCTCGAAAAACCAAAAACAAACAAAAAACAATTCTCTGAAAATAGTTCTCTGTGCTAAGTGCCTTGGATGTAGTGTGAAGCAGGCACATCCTTATTGTTAATCCCAAAGATGGAAAGAGAAAGACCACCAACCCAAATCACCATGGCCAAATTAATTAAAGCAAGATTTTTTATTCATGTACACAGGCTGCCTCCCCCAAAGTCAGGGTTCAAGAAGTCAGTATTGGATGTAAGGAAGACAAGGCTTTTATAGCTCAGGGGTAAGGGGTTTCCAATTGGGGGATTTGGTGAGCAAAATAGGCCACATTACAGGAGCATGACAAACAAGTTAGTCCTAACGACCTCCTGAAACAAAGACGTGGTTGCAAGGTGGGCACAACAAGGTAGTCACGGGTGGCCATCTAACCTTTGGAAACAAAGACATGATTGCCATTCCTGGAACAGGCAGTACAGAACCATGCAGTTAAGGTAACAGGTGGGCATAGGCCAAGCCTTGAGAAACAGATTTAATCATAAATAGTAACTGACCTAGTTTGTCTTTACTATAAGATGGCTTTTAAGCCTACGATGGAAGCAGGCTGGTTCTTCACTTACCATTGTACAAGTTCAAGGTTCAGGGAAGTCAAGCAACTGGTTCAGTAGTATACCTGTGACTTTTTTCATCAATCAAAGTGAGCACCATCAGAGAAAAGAAGATTACAACGTCACTGAAAAAGAGTTGAGGGATATGGGGAATACAGGGAAGACACAAGTGTCGATGAAAACCCCAAGAACTGAAACCTAAGCGAGAAGAGCAAGAGAGCAGCTCACCAACTCTTAGACGGAAAGACGTTGCTTGGAGTATCAAACAGGTAATTGCACACCATGCTCAGAGCAGCACAGTTCACAATGGCCAAAAGCTGGAAACAATCCAGGCGTCTCTCAGCAAATGAACAGATAAGCAAAATGCAGTCTTTTGGACAATGAAATATTAATATTACTTGGGCACACAAAGAAATGAGACTATAACACACGCTTCAACATGTGTCAACCTTTAAGTAAATGTTACACTGAGTAAAATAAGGACAGTCTGTTATTTTGCTATGGTTTCTAGAAAATCCTGGCCCACAGAAATGTATTGTCTCATAATTCTGGAGGCTGGCAGGCTTTGACTGAAGTATCAGCAGTAGTGGTTTCTTTGGAGGCTTTTGTCCTTGGCTTTAAACTGCACCTTCTCCCAGTGTCCTCACATGGTCTTCCCTGTGTGTGTGAGGATGCCAGTTAGACTGGATTAGGGCCCACTCCAATGACCTCATGTTACCTTCACTACTTCTTTATCAGCCTATCTTCAGATATAATCACATACTAAGGTGCTAGGGGCTGGGATTCCACATGTGATATGAGGGTGTGAGACAACAGACAACCTTAACAGGCATTGAATGATTCCATGTATACAGCCAAGTTTATAGATGAGAATTAAGTAGACGTAGACGAGGGACTGAGAGTGTAGCTCAGTGTTAAGCACTTGTCCAGCATTTACGAAACCCAGAATCCAACCAATACTGGAAAAAATGCACTCCTATACTTTGAAAACACTGTGAATTATTAAAAATTATTAAGCCAGATGTGATGACACATACCTGTAATCCTATCACATAGGGGTAGAGGGCAGGGGAGATAAGAGTTCAAGGTCATCCTCAACCACACAGTGAGTTCCAGGCCAGCCTGAGCTCAATGACCCTGTTTCAAAAATCAAGCAAGGCAGACAAGATGGTTCGGTGGGTAGGGGTATTGGAAATGAGTTTGAGTAGGAGAAAACTGACTTCTGGAAGTTGTTCTCTGACTGCCATATGCACACCCCAACACACAAATAAATCAAAATCATACAAAAATCTTCTAAAAAATTAAAATAATAAACATCTATTATGTATACTTCCACAATTTTTTTTTTTTTTTTTTTTTTTTTGGTTTTTCGAGACAGGGTTTCTCTGTGTAGCTTTGCGCCTTTCCTGGAACTCGCTTTGGAGACCAGGCTGGCCTCGAACTCACAGAGATCCGCCTGGCTCTGCCTCCCGAGTGCTGGGATTAAAGGCGTGCGCCACCACCGCCCAGCTACTTCCACAATTTTTTAAAGAGGAAAAGGGGTGCCCTGTTTGGAAAGCAAGAGACAAACTCAATAGAAAATAAACTCTTAAATCATAAATTTTCAAATAGACCTCATGTGGTCATAAGAAATCTGACTGAGAACATGTCACATCACCCACCACCGCCACCATCTCCAAAGTCAGAACCTCCAGACCCCTGCTCAGCCTTTAAGAATATTCCATCATGGTAGTTTTAGCCCCATTTTCACAAGCTGCCAATCCCCACATACACCTGCTTCTGACAGTCTCAGGCTGATGTTCCAGAGATGAGAGTATGCTTAAGAAGATGTGTGTGAGCCAGGTGGTGGTGGTGTATGCCTTTAATCCCAGCACTTGGGTGGCAGAGGGCGGCTGATCTCTGTGAGTTCAAGGCCAGCCTGGTCTTCAGAGTGAGTTCCAGGACATCCAGGGCTACACAGAGAAACCCTGTCTTATTTGTTTGTTTGTTTGTTTTTTGAGACAAGGTTTATCTGTAGCTTTGGAGCCTATCTTGGAACTTGCTCTGTAGACCAGGATGACCTCAAACTCACAGAGATCTGCCTGTCTTTGTCTCCCAAGTGCTGGGATTAAAGGTGTGTGCCACCAGGTCCAGCTTGAGAAATCCAGTCTTGGAAAAAATAATCATCAACATCATTTTTAAACTAATCTTTAAAAAAAAAGAACCCAGGCACAGTGGCACACTCCTTTAATCCCAGCACTTGGAAGGCAGAGGTAGGTGGGTTTCAGTGAGTTTGAGGCAAGCCTGGTCTGCAGAGTGAGTACTAAGCCAGCCAGAGTTACATGGTGAGATCCTTTTCAAAAAAACAAAACAAGCCAGGCAGTGGTGCCACACGCCTTTAATCCCAGCACTCCGGAGGCAGAGGCAGGCAGATCTCTGTGAGTTCGAGGCCAACCTGGTCTACAGAGTGAGATCCAGGACAGGCACCAAAACTACACAGAGAAACCCTGTCTCAAAAAACCAAACCAAACCAAACAAAAAGAGAGAAAGGTGGGGGGAGAGGGAGGGAGGGAGGGAAGGAAAGAAGGGAGGGAGGAAGGAAGGAAATGCATCTGGAAGGATACAAGGGTCTCAGCAGAAAACACAGATTTGAGGGGCTACCACAGATTATGGTCATGGCCACATTTCAAAAGGCCATGAAGGAATTTCTAAAAGTGGAAAGAAGTACATATATCCCTGGGAAAATTTCTCCTGGACTGAAAAGGGGCCCCAACAAATCAAACCCTGGATTTAGGACCTGAGGGTTCATTTCAATTGATAAGGTACTGCCACTAAAGGAAACATCAATTCATTCTGTATGGTTCAAGAGTAGAGCCAGGGTTATAGAAGACATTTTACCTCAATGTTTAGGTTTAACATGCCCCAAAGAACACGTTTGCTGCATGTAAGCACTCTATACCTGCATGGATCTGGTCTTGGCAGAGACTGGTGTTTAGGGGAGGGGCACTACACCTATGGCTTCCTTCCCTCCTTTCCTAAGAGTCTGGGTCCAGGGAAGCCTTTGGGCATATGCCTTCTGAAAAACTGCTATGGTTTAAATATAGGCATCCCCAAAAGTCCCCTGTGTAGAAGGATTCATCCCCAAAGATACCAATAGTGGGAATTCCTGTGGACTTAGGAGGTAGAACCTAGTGACAGGTCCTTAGATCTCTAGGAGTGTGCTTTAAAAAAAAAGATGGAACCCCAACTGTCCTCTTCTCTACTTCCCCGCTAGAGACATGAACACTCACTCCAATGTGTTCCACCACGACATGCCACCCTCACCAGATACCTAAACCTATGGACCACCCACTCTTGAACTTCCAGAACCATGAGTCAACATAAGCCTTTGTTCACTTCTGAAGTAGTTTGCATGAGATATCTCTTATAGTCTCTGGCCTTTGAATACTTGGTCCCCAGTTGGTGGCACTGTTTGAGA